AGAATGCAGACTGCGGCCGGGTTCATCGAGATTCGCGTTACTCTCCAGTTTCTAAAACTCCGAACGTCTAAAGACGTCGACGACTTTACGTTTCGTAGAATCCCGAAACACTTTCACTCGTACTCGGGCGCTAAATATTTATACCTGTTGTGATTGTTGTCGTTTTATTGGAACAACAAACCTGGAGCTTCGTTTGAAAGCTCGAAGCCTCCACTTTCAAAACACACAGTTTCGTTTCATTCTATGTAAATGTTCTTGCATCGTGTAGCGAGTGGGCGAGTGTCTCGCGAGTGTTATAAAAGCGTTGGAGAATTTTTTTTCCCCGTTTTTTAACTGAATTTACATTCTACAGACTGGACGACTGAAGCTTTCTCTTTAGGAAACTTGACGTGCAATCTTCCCTCGCAATTTTATTATCCAACCTTCTCTGACATTTAAGAATTCTTCCTTACATTCGATATTCAAAGTTCAATGAATTGGACAACAAACAGAAATCCTTTGAAACAGTAAGTTGCAAAAACAAAAAAAACTTTTCAACTGTTCCTACACACAGTGAAACAGACGATCGATAGCATTTTCGAGAGGAGAGAGGCGTCTCTTCGTTCCGCCATCTGTCTCTGTAGAAAAACGTCTGAAAATAAAATGAACGACGCGTTTTAAAAGTAGAGGGCCCCGAGCTTTGAAATGAGTCCAAGTTCATTATTATTCCTCTACGAAATTAGAACGAGCTTCAAATATTTAATGTTTCGAACGTCAACGGTGCTCTCTCAGGCTTTTCTCTCTGTACAAGAGCTAAGATTCACATATGAAAGGAAGCTGTTCCTCTCTTTGAAACAACGATGAAAGATGATCCGCGCAATTGTTTCAAGCTGCAACGCTTTTGTCCGTGCGAAACCATCACTTTCCTCAGTGGAAAAAAAAAAAAAAACAAACATCTCGCGAATCAACTATTTCCCGACCACTTGACTGTAATTTTCCTCTTCTCCCCTTACAAAGTTGCAAGAGCAAGTGATTCTATCTTGCGAAGGAGATCGGCGCGTGTTCGAAAAATAATGAAATCGAGAAATCGTAGTAGAGAAAATTACGTTGGCTCGCTGCAGAGAAAAAGTGGAAGCTGTCGACACAGAGAGCGGTAGACGTAGATCACGCGGTAGATCTCGGTAAATCGCGGAAAAATCGACGAAAAGTTCGTAACAAAGAGGCTAGCTAATCGCTATTTATTATATGCATTAATCTAATCGACACGAAGGACACTTTGATTAGCGATGCACGCCAGATTGTTCTCTCTCTCTCTCTCGTCAATTCGTATAATTTCCAATTCCTTTTCAATCGACAGTTGGAATGCTCGACGAAAACGAGGAGCGCGCCATAAGCGAGAGTGACGACTCTCGCGCGCGGAATAATTCATGTCGTTCGGACGATGCGAAGGTCAATCACCGTGAAAGAAAGAAAGATCATCCGCGAGCCGCGATCGAAGGGATCCTCGTGGATCCTCTACGTCTACCGTGTGATCGTTCGTTGCCTGTTTTCTGCATCGTATCTTCAACACTAGGGCACTTGATCTCGAATTTTTCAGAAACCGTTTTTTACATTTTTCTCTCCTACTATAGTATCATGACAAGCCACTGAGAAAGAAAACTGCATTTGTGAGCAGGGAAACATGGTGGTCATCCACAGGCATGTGTTGTTTCTCACACACTGACAGAAGATCATATTTCCAAATAAAATGATAAAAAATTTTCGAAAACACGTGTTTGTAAAAGTTACTTTTGTTTAATATCGTTCGATCTTTCAGTGGCCAGCCTGACTATAATGACTTTTGTCCATTGAACGCAGCTGTTGTCCCAAGTCAGAAAATTGTTATGAAGAAAATACAGCATTGCTGGAAAGAAATGTTAGTTGAAACGTGGCTAAGAAAGTTACAACATTCCGATGATGGGAAACCACTACTCTTCGCCTAAACTGTTTTGGTAAAACCCATTAAAATTATTAACCTGTATACTGTTTATGTAACGAGTATCAACAAAAGCAACATTCTTTCCTGTAATCTTAAAGTTTTCCATGTATGTAAAAAACTTTAATATATGAAAAAAAATTTCGCAAATGCGTGCTTGAAATTTCTAACATGTGTATATTTCTATCTCTACGGACACGCGATCGTAAATTGAGTATTAATCGTCGAATACGTAAATCGGCTTCGGTACCTCGATATTTCAAATCTGAGGTGATTGGTGCGGCCAATTCTATCCTACGCAGAAGAAAGAACAAAGCTCACGATCGTTGTTAGGAATGAATCGTGTACGACGTGCTGACACGACGCAGAAATACGCAACGAAACGAGCAAATCGATGGCCGTGCCTAATAACAAATTTGATCGGTTTGATCCGGAACGAAGGCGGTAAATAAATCACACAGGGTCAAAGATTATTTCTCTCGCGGCACGCGCTCGACAAACAAAGACGCGAAAAGCGTCGACTGTTGCGTTATCATGCGTGATAAGCCGAGTTCGTTTCTATGTCCGAGATCACACGTAGCTATGTGTGGCATTCGCCAGTTCTTACGAAAGTCAAACGAAACGACTCGCGTACTTACCACTCCCTTCCGTATGCACAAACAGACAAGTACGATCCGATTAAAAACGCGATTCACATTCTCATCAGCGCGGAAGCTCTCTCTTTCGTGCGAATCTCGTGTGTGATTCCCTGGCCATCGTCGACTGGCGCCGCGGAATGTTTTTCTATGTATATATCGTAAGAAGTATACAGCCTCGTATGGATAAGTAGCGAGGAAGAGAAAGCGAAGAAGCGATGCGAACGTGATGAACAAATTTCTGGACGGAGAACGATTCAGAAGAGAATTGAATTTCTGTTGTACAGGGTGATCCACGTAACTTGCACGCCTGAAGTAACTTTTAAATTGTGCGTCCAATGGGTGATTGTTTAATACAAAAGTTGTATGGTAGAAGTTGTAAGGCAGGCGAAATAAATGTCAATTTTTTATGCGTGTTGAAGGATTTGTGTTCGAAATTTCCAAATCTTTATCTTTTTTTTTTTTTTTTTTTTCCTTAATTGGACTGTGTTCTTTCTCGAATGTTAAATTCCAAGTGAAAAAGTATACAACTTTTGTATTAATCCTCTATGGGCCGAATATATTTTTCCTTGACTGTAAAAAACATTTATGTAAAATCAACCTGTAAATACAGGTTAACAATGAATTCAGCAGTTTCAACAATTTGATTATAACGAATAATAAAATTGACATTTCAGGACAGAGGTGATAAC